CGAACCTATATCTATCGCACTTACGTGCAGCTCTGGGATCTGTGTGCTCCCCCCATCTACCAGGATCCAGGGCACGTTGCACAAGGTGTACCTACCTACACTGCCCGTTGCCTGGAACTCTCCGGCTTATCGCATTCCCTCCCACCGTTCAACACCATCAGCTCGTTGCTTCCCAAGATTCCAAGCATCCTCACTCCGTCGTCATTCACGTGGTCTTCTCCGTGCTGCCCGATCGCCTGTCCTCTACTGGAAGCTTTCCCTACTCTGGAGTTGAAATCGCCCACCATGACAACTTCTCCCTTCCTACTGAACCTCTGGACATCTTCCCCAATTTGTCCAAAGTTCTCCTGCGCCTTGCTTGCGAATTTCTTCGACGACGGTGGGACGTATACGTTCCCTGGAAACAAATCTTTTTCACCCTGTTCCCCAGGTATCTTAAGCCATAGGCTTTCCTCGAACTCTTTTCACCACTACTTCCACCACGTCAAACAAGTGTTCCTTGACCAGGAATCCGACTCCCCCATCCCCCCTTTTCTTCGGGTCTAAGCCTTTTCTTGCCTTCCCTACCCACCGGTATTTCCCTAGTTTGCTTACTGTTGGAATAGTTGCAGTACAAGAACGACGACTCTATTCTACTGCATAGATAGGTTTATGCAGTATTGTGGAGGCGTTGCCAAGTCTGTAACCGTCAGGTGAAGCCAGCTTGGGCGTCTGTGTGGATAATATTAGGAGAAACAAATATACACAGAAAGACTACCCGTTCGAGGTATAACTACACTCGAAGGGGATGTATGTGTTGAAGTCTTTACAGTGAGTAGAGGAAAACCAGCTGGGTACTTGACTTATTTCGAGTTTGTTTAAGCCTATACACTGATGATTTATATCAGTGATACCAGTTGGTGCTTAGCACAAAAACATCTGCGTAGGTACATTTATTTACATGTGGCCTGCACAGGATAATAATACATGGGTCCCACGTGTGTCAGGAATTTTGACACGAGACCAGAATTTTGACACGAGACGTCAGAATTTTGACACGAGAGGTTACGCCGCACTTTTTCATGTCAGAATCATAGGTCAGAATTTTTCGAAACGTGGTTAAAACAATTGATTCCCCCAGTAGTTGAATTACTGAAGGTGGAGAAGAAATCCTGGAGATTTTATCTGAAGCAGACCAGATGGATGGCACGTTCGACTGGTGATTCTGCCCCACATGTTGTGGAAACATATGACTTTGTTGCCATGTATACTAGCATACCTCTGTCTTTTAGTTCAATTGAAAGAATTCATTGATTTGGTGTTTGACTTCCAATCAATTTCGTGATTCTGGATATCGTTCAATTAATGTACAATATGGCTTCAAGAGTAGTTGTCCTTTCATCATCAAAGAAGAAGTACATTGGTCAACGGAGGAATCGGTTGCAGCTAATTTGGAAGTCGCGAAGGAGAAGACATTTCTTGTTGGGCAAGAACGACTCTTCAAGTGGTGTGAATTTGTTTTGACGGAAAGTTATGTTCAGTTTGGACCTCATATATATCGCCAGTCTTCTGGCATATTTATGGGATCCTCACCTGCACCCGATTTTGCCAATATATTTGCTTACATGCATGAACTAAGGTTTTATAAAGAGATGGTTGCAGAGTTCCGAGAAACACAACATAGTGGTCGTACCCATTATATGTACCCCCGAGTGTTCATTGAACAATATGGCGTGAGGACTAAGAGATATATTGATGACATCATCACTATCACTTTGGCCTCACAAGCCAATGGTTTGAGACTTAAGGATGTCATATATAGTGGTGATACTCCGTACGATCCATTTGGCATAGGCATGAGTGAAACGTTAGGAAGAATGTATGACCGACTGATTAGTGATGGAGACGGTAATCTCATCCCTAACAGTATTGAGTTGACCCAGGAACAAGTAGGACATAGTGCGCACTTTTTAGATATGGAAATAGTCCAAGACTTGGCAGGCTCTCAAGTGCAAATGTATGATAAACGAGACACGATGAGTTCTCTGAAGTCGTATCGCCGATTCCCCCACATTGAGACTAAAACTAGTTATC